GTCTGCCATATCTCTGGGTATAAGATGTGGTCAAAATAAAGGGAGGTCTGCCCTAAAGTGGCCCTTTGTGTTGCCTAATGGGGGGAAGTATACAAAAACATATTTTATATTTCTGTTAATGTAATTGTATACACTATTTAATGCATTACTATTGTAATGTTATGTAAATGCAAATTGTTTGCACTGTAAGGCAATCAATGTTTTGAGAGCAAACATATTGTGGATTGTATTTGAAATGTTCAAACCGAGATAAATGTCTATTTGATTATTAAAACTATTAGTTTATAAATACAAATAATAATGAGTATAATTCTGCAATTGAATGAGTGTTAAGTTAGCTTTATAATTAATTTGTAATCACTTAAAAATTATTGACAAAAATCTGATTGAAAATTATTATCGATTGATCTGACAATTGCCTTTTTATGCAATATATAATGATTTCAATTTCAATTTAATTAAAAATAATTTACTTTCACTTTTGTGTTGATAAGGAATGAATACAAAGTTTATTCAAACAAATGAATATTTTCTCAAATATATTATGCCATGAATTGTGATCCAATTTCTATTGATATTCTTATCTGACAGTTGATTGAAACAAATTTGTTTTAATAATAATTTCTTTTTGAAATTTTCAAATAAAAATGTTAGCAAATGTATTTTATGTTTTATGAATTTTATTTGACATTATCATCATTTGAGCGAAAGTCACAAAACAAAACATTTCGAAATCACATTCAATGCCATCCTAACAGTAAATCGATACCATATATTGATTATTCATATTATTATTCACTATTTATTTGCATTACATATTGTGTTTGAATATAATTAGTTAAAATTATATTTTTATATATGGTATACATTTATTACATAAAAAATAATGTATTTCTTTCAGCAAATATTAATTCAGTATATCTAAGATAATACATTAAGTTATTTAAGGCTCAAATGTTGAGTACTTTTCCAAATGAAAACACAATTACGATTCTTATCAGTAATATCAGGCAATTAAAATAAAAAGCAAAAAACAAACACAAATTTATAATTACATTTCTTTAAATGGCATTACAATTCAATTCTAATTCTTATTATTTGTTTAGAAAATATGAAATTAATTCATAAGTTATTCTTAGTTTTGTGTTATTAAGTGGTTGTTTGGGATTGTGAACCAAATCACGAAACTCTTTCTCATAGAGAGAAAACTCATTACATTTGGAGAAAAAGCTCTTATTTTTATAATCTTTAAATAATTTTACCGCAAAACCAACATTTTGTCAAATAATGACATGATTTCTAAAAATCCAATCTATTATAATAAATACACTTTGAATGCAAGTCTTGAATAACAACCGAAGTTAAGGTTTTTTGTGCAAAAAAGTAATAATAAAAATAAAAGTAACACAAAAAAGTTTACAAACTTATTAATTTAATTATAATTTTGAAAAATTATTTTCGAAAACATTTCGCAGAGGATATGAAACTAAATAAAGAACTGAAAAGAAGTTTCAAAAACACTTCCTTCTTATATAAGGGAAACATTTTCTATACAGAAAGAAATTGTAACAAAATATGCGCTCAAAATGTATTATAAAATATATATTATAATCACTTAATGCGTGACTAAACACGTTCTCAAATGTTATTTATTTCCACCAAAAAATTCATATGAATTTCGCTTTTTTATTACAAATCAAACTTATATTTATGTTATGGTAAGCACTCGTATACTGTACTATCGTATACTGTATCGTATACTGTAGATATCGGGTATATGTTATATGCTATCAAACAAATAAGACTTAACTTATTGTTACTATACATGAGTTGCTATTCAAACATAATTTTCAAAGTTTTTGAGTTAAGACTTAAGAGTTGCCTTCATTAGCAAAATATTATTTTAAATGCATTTAAGGCTTTGTTTCACAACATTATGGATGCATTTAAATGGGAATCAAAAACAAGTGATTCATTTCAATTGTCTGACAATAGAAGTGCTTTTGAAAAGTTTTGCCGCAATTCTTATAAGTCTGTTGAAAATTGTTTGGAGTGAGCGATGATGTGATCATATTTTCATTTAATAATAGCAAACACTTGAAAAATATTACATAAACATAAGAAACAATTGTTTACAATAACAATGACTTTGAGAACAACTTTCAAACCATCAAATCAGTCAAACTATTATATTAATGAAAATTTATAAGAATATTCAACTTTTCATAAGTATATATATATATTTCATGAGTATACCTATTAAACTAATTTAGTTATTCATATAAACTATAAATATTAATAGCATACAAAAATAGAGTCAAATATTATACTAAATTAAAACAAATATAAATTATATATATTTTGATTCAATTCATACCTTTATTTACAATTATTTATGATATAATAAGTTATTAAGAATACAAACAGTTATTAAGAAACACTGAAAATATATAATTTATATAATATTTATTATGCAATTGTATTAATTTAAGTAATTATTCAAATCTAAGATCTGAGGGTCTTTGCCCCTCCCTATCATACCCTGTAATACATATTCACTTTATTTAGATTAGTATCTAATGAACTGAGATTTGTATAACTAATCGTCTTTTGATTGCTATTATTGTGAAAACTTTTTGATTACAAATATTTTTTTTTCGTAAGACGTCAAGCAATTGAATGCAGTTTTTAATTTCTTATTTAAAAACTTTTCTCACAATTAATGTGAAGACATAGAAAAAACTGATCGAAAGTCTGTTACATAAAAAGATACCGATTTAGACAAACTGTTTGTGTGTATAAATCTAATACCTTTGTATACAAAACAATTTTTTCGTATATTTCCTGACAATTAGAGCATTGGAACAGTTATTATATTATATGAAAACCAGTTTCTAAGACTTAACTCTAACACCATTTATATAATATAACTGTATTTCATTTCATAATTGTATACTGTATTCGTATCTCTAGTTTACAAAACAATTTTTTCTCTATTTCTCCAATCGATTAAGTTTTCACTTTTTCTATTATCAAATGTACGAAACATGTCTTGTTTTTTCGGTTAATCTGTAGATTTGTTTCAAACACAACTCTTAAATATAATCTCATTTCTGAGATCATTTTCACGATTTTGTATTTTGCGAAAATGTGATTTGTATTACAAATTAGATGGCATTATAGGAATTACATTCACAAATCGGAACATTATTAGTCATAAATCATACAAATTGACGACAAATTATAATTAGTATTGAAATCAATGACATAAATAGAGCGAAACATATATATATACTTTTTTTCGCTGTTAATACATATTGTAATTGTATTTCGAGTTTCGAGATGTTTTCGTGCAACAGAATAATAGTCTAAAACAAATAATTTCATTAGTTTTTACATTTGAATAATTGGTTGCGTTTTTATTTTTGAGCTAAACTTTAAATTATAACTTCATTTACTTTAATTTTATAATTCCTATGCTGTTTAGGCATTATATAATTGACAAATAAGTTGTCGTTTTTCAAACAAAACTTCCAAAATCTTGTAACCATTATTAAGCACTTAGCAAATGACAACTTATGTCCAAAATTACATTCAAATAAATTTATGTTAAGTAAAAAAGTAAAATAAAAGTAAATTTTATGCATTTTATTTAAGGACTCATTTGAATAAATATTTGAATACAAATAATGTTTATGTAATATTGAATTAATATTAAAATATTAAAAATAAGCACAGAATATATGCAAAAAAAATAAAAGTATATTTTATGCATTTTATTTAAGGACTCATTTGAATAAATATTTGAATACAAATAATGTTTATGTAATATTGAATTAATATTAAAATATTAAAAATAAGCACAGAATATATGCAAACAAATGTCGTGAAAAGCATTGAGAAGCATATAAAAGGTTATAAACCTTTTTTCATGACTCCATACATCGTATTGTCATATGTTATCGATTTTAAAAACTTAAGTGAAGTTAGTTTCGACAGCAATAGAGCTATAGCTGCGGTTCAAAGAAAGCTAAAGTCAATTAAATACTAATTTGATTACGAGATAAGAATCTCTAAAAGACTTAAATTGAGAGGAACTGCTAATTTATATTAGAGTTATATTTATTACCAGTAGTTCACACGACTGAGCATTTGGTTCATTTGTATTATTTACTTATTTATGGCTCATTGTATACTCTTTACTACTCGAGAAAGACAGAGAAACAAAAATTTAGAGGACATTTTGGTGAGTTACCACACTTACCGGAGTTCTGAGCGCTTCGGAAAAGAGAATTAATAATATGTCAAAATTATGTGTTTAAGCTATAAAACTGTTTGTAAAAAACAATTGCCGCTATAAATCTTAATGTAAAAGCAATAAAATTTACATTTAAATCAATTTGAATATTATTTAAATTACAATAAAACTAGACAATATCGTACTTTTGAAACAGCTGGGAAATTATTTACGAATTTAAATTGATTGCAATTATTTTAATTGTGCACTAAAATAATAAATATATAGTTTGTTCAGGGTTTTGATAAGTTATAAAATTGAATAATGTTTAATCGTTTAAAAAACAAAAACATTAAATTCCGTTAAACATTGTTCAGAGAATAATGTGTTGATTGACATAACGAAAGGATAATTGGCTTTCAATTCTCATTATGAAAGCTAATAAATCCATGAGATATAGTGGGTGTTATGTCCAATTAGTGATAGAAATACATTTATTTAATTATGCTGGCTATTTTTAGACCAAAAAGCATGACTTGTCAGAGTTATCAACAGATTATCCATTGATTTTATTATTGATAATGCATTAAAATAACTACAAAAAAAATTGTTTCGCAAATTAACGTTGAGATAAAATACATGACTTTCTCTACACTGCATTTAACTGATATAAATCTATTAAGCATTTCATAAAACGTATCAATGAAACTAAAACTATAAATATATAAATGTGAAAATAATTTGATTGTGATTTGTCGGACAGATTCTGGAACAGGAAAAGTATGGCTTTCGGAGGAAACTGGAGAGTCTTGAGGGGGAATACGAGGGAAGGATAGCTGAACTGCAAACTGATCTCAAGAACGCACGACAAGAATCAGAGACACAACACATGTATTTGAGACAAACGGAGGGCGAGAAAAGCAAAATCATTCAGGAATTGATTGAACAAAACCATCGATTGACGAATGAACTCAAACAGGTTTGCCATTCAATCCCATAATAAGCACTCATTTTTTGGGAAATTTTTATTTTCAATTTTAAACTCAATCTTTTATAATCCATTCGCATTTATTTTTAAAAATTAATTAATTTGTAAAAATTGAATAAAAAGTAAAACCTTTTCTAATTAAAATCGAGGAAAACGTTTAGATTTTAATATGAGAAACAGTTTTTCAATTAACAGAAACCAAAAACTTTAAATCTTTTAAAAAAGTTTTCTTCTTTGAATAAATGATTTCATAATTCTTTTAATTATTCAGTCGACAGAAACTGAATCATTACTGGAAAGTCAATTACAGACACTTCGAGACCAGTTTAATGTGAGGCGAACTAATCTGAATGACCACATCGACCAACTCGAAGGACTTCGCGAAGAGGTATGACATACTGATAGGCATACAGTCAGGAGAGAGAGAGAGAGAGAGAGAGAGAGAAGGCATAACCTAATTTTGAATATAAAACATGTCAACAGAATAATAGAAAAAAGAGTCGATGTTTTAAATGTTATAATTAATTGTTTGTTTTGTGCGGCACTTATCTCTCAGATTAATCTCTTGAGTAAAAGAAAGAGTGATTTGGAGAGAAGGATATCGTCGTTAACACAGGACAGGGAACACCTAAATGTATCTCTGGAGGAGTCAAGCGATAGGATATTCCTGTTGGAGAAACAGTTACAGCAACAGGAGTTGGAGTTACGGACTCAACACAAAGACCTGGAAGAGCTGAGACACGCCAACAGTGAACTCCACAACAAACTGGACGCCGTGTCCCGAAAGACAGTGCCATCCGATCATAACTGCCTTAATGGTCACCACTCGCTGTTCAATGAGATCGAGATGTCTTCTGCGTCGTCAAACGACGAGGACTTGAGATCATTGAGCGGTCGCATCGATTACAACGAAGACGAGATCGATATCGACGAAAGGGACTCCTCTTACAGTTCCTCTCAGAGCGACTCATCTAAAGTAATCATTAGTTGCTTGCTCATTAATTTTTAAATACTTTTATTCAATTATATTTCAAACCAAAACTCTAGCACTCATTAAGTTATTAAACAATTTTCACATAAATTGCTTTAAATTATACCAATCTTTTGCTGTTATGATAACACTATATATTAAATGCAAACATAATTACTGATAATATCTTTGGTCTCATCTGATGATTAGCTAAAGCAAGAGCTCATTGAGGTTTACCATCATTTGAGGCAAACCTGTCATGAATTGCACCGAAAGAGGGAAAGCAGCGGAAACTTCAACTCAACACAAGACAGCGGTATTCAAACGATTCCCGAAGAGATACCTATCAATCAGCTTAAGAGCGGAATGTTTAGGACTATTGTCAGAGACTTGATATCTCTTCTCAACGATTTGAATACAGAATACAGTGAAATGGTATTAATTATAGCTTTTCATATGAAAACACATTTGATTAAAACACATAATAATATACAAGTTTTGATAAGAACAGTGACCTTAAAAAACGCGGCATTCATTAAATGATATGACATTTATTTGTTTCACACAATACTCTATAGCCGTGTATAGCGTGTCAAACAGTGGCCTCGGAGAGGTGCGAACTCGAGAAGTTGCGCAAAGAGGTGAGAGACCAGTCGGATCAGCTCAAGAAGTCTGCCGAACAGATGACCGAAATGAGCAAACGGCTCACCATTCAGGAGTCGGAGCTCAATGCCATCAAAGAGGAGAGAGACACTCTCAAGAGTGACATCAGTAACGCGGGCGGACTGGCCAAGGATGAGATCGTGAAGAGGGCCTGGGAGGTGAGGGATCAGGCCGTGGCCCGCAAGAATGTGGTCGAAGTGGAACTGGCTAAGACCAGGATAGAAGTCATGCATATTAATAGTCAACTCCTGGAAACTATTCAACAAAAGATTGAGTTATCGCAGCAACTGGAACAGTGGCAGGTATGGTATGCCTCCCCATACCACTAACCCTACCTTTCCCAAGCATTCATTGCTATTATAATTATGAGTTTAAGCTTAATATTTATTATTACTTTCGTGCAATTACTATGAAAATAATAATAATAAAACTATCAAAAACTTAAATTAGATTATTGTTTATATAATAAATATAATCATAATGAATATAAAAGTCAAAATAAAAACTTGTATTATATAGTAGAGCAGTGCAAATGTCAGTCATTTGCGGTCCAAAACCAGTTCTTAAACAATTATGGCCTGTGTTTTAGTTTTTGTTAATTTAATATTATTTTTGCTTAAATTTTTATTATTTTTATTATTATATTTGAGAAATAATTACAATTTAGAAGATATTTGAGTCGAAAACATATATTTATCGCTATTTATAGCGAAATGTAATTTAAAACTCACGTAAACTTCTTAAGCAATTAAATCGGATTTAGAGCTAAAACTAAATCTTGAAAAATATTTTTAGATTTAAGACTAAATACATGTCTTGTCTGTTGACTGTTTAGGTGGATATGCAAATCCTTTTGGACGAACAGCTCAAGACTAAGCTCACGTCCCAAGAGATGGGCGACAAGAGACGCAACGGTGACATAACAGCCCTCAACGCCACTGACAACAAGACATCTCCGATGGTTTCGCGCGGAACTAAATTTCTGAAGCTTTGGAGATATAATTGATTTGCAATTGTATTTCATGTAAAACAAGAGTCTGTGATACAAACCATAATTACATTTCATTACAGCGCCTGAAAAGTGCCTCAAATAAGTGTTATTATTAGACAACTTCTCACTGTTTTAATCGTTCAAATAGTATACAGTAATATAGAGACAATTATTTTGTAATACATTTTCATTCAAATCGTTGATAATAAGACTTTTTTGACGGCACTAACCATTCATTACTGGTTTTCAGATTGTGATATTATATAACATTATTATGTATTATTAATATAACTATAGTTTTAAAAAATATATATTGTATTAAATTAATGTCCAAATATGTCTAAATATTTTTATTTCTGTACAAAAAGTTGATTGAATTTAAAATAAATAGTTTGATTTATAAATGATTAATAACTTTCTTTATTTGATATACATTTTTTTGTTAAAAATTTTTAATTAAACTTTTAATAATATATCGTAAAAGTAAATCAAATAACAAAAAAAAGTTTTTCATCAGATATTGGGTCAAACCATAAGTAAATTGATTTTTCGACTCAAGAAATAAAGTAAAATAAAGAGTGCTTTTGAACAATAGATACACAACAAGAAAATCAAAAGTTTAGATTTCTCTTGATTTTAAAGCAACAAAATGTATAAATAATTGATTAAATCCTAAATGATATAAAAGCGAAATAAATGAACTTTTAGTACAAAAATATAATCGGAAGACACGAAAGAGTTTTTTGTTAAAAGATTAAGAGATTTCAATCAATACACTCAATGACTTTATCTCAATATAATTTGTGTCCGATTTCTGGTAAAGTTTTTTTACCCTAACGTTAGGCATGACTTCAGAATCAAATTGTAGTCATCTTTTATGCTGAATAAAAATTATGATAATTATTGAAAACACTATTTTATGCCTTTATTGTCAAAGAAACCTTTATTTAATACATTTTTAAACATATTATACGTAGCATTACTGTATTGTGTTATTATAATCAAATAGTGTATGTAATAAATTTTTAGTTCAAATATATGTATTTATTTTTTTCGAAAAATATATTGAATTATGAGAGGCATTAAAAAGTAATAATCATATATTTAATTCAATGGTCAATGAATGAGAGATTCTGTTTGTAAGTTACCATCAAATTTCACATAAAACCCAAAAAAGTTAGTATTATTCGTGAGTTATATAATTGAATACTTACTGTATATATAGCTTACGAATCATTCACTTAAAGTTTTATAACTTGTATTAGTATTGAATTGAATTGAAATAATAGTTTTGTATACCTTATCTTATTTTATACATACGAGTACTCAAAATATAATGTAGTTTACATTGAATTAAGTTATTAATATAAAAATAAAATTTATAAGAATTTGTAAAATAAACGTTCAATTTATAGAAATTGACATAAATTATAGTTTCCAGACATTCATAAACACATGGGAAGTGTATTTTATAAATAGACACAAAAGTGTTTCTTTTATTGAGAAATATTTTTGAATTTCTTTTTTACTTAATATTTCTTTCACAACATTAGGCATTCATTTGGGAAATGTTTGAAAAATAGGTTTGAAATGATAATTATTAAACAATTTTTCGTTATAAATGTAATATTTTGATTGATAAGACATTTATTAATGTAAAAAATTGTTTTCATATTAACTTATAATAGCTATGATTAGAAATAAACACTTTCTAATAATGTACTAGTAAACAAATTTGACAATTTTTAACTTTTAAAATAGTGTATAATTTGAGACCTTTTTTATATCAAATTATTACCGCAAATATTAAATTGTTGTGTAATTTAAACGGAAGATTTACAACTAAAATAGCGAAAGGAAAGTACGATTATTGCTAAGGATTTTCCATTTTTTCTCAGTTTTTATGTCTATATTTTGAATTTATAAAAAATGAATCTAAACCAGGGACAATCAAGTTAAATGTTGAATGAACTATACTGCATATCAATTACAAATACTATACAAATAAATTAATTTATAAAGATATTTAGTTAATGTTGAAATTTTCCTTTTGTATAATAAACTCATTAAAACAACTATTTATTGGAAATAATATTTTATTTGTATTAAAATCTATAATCCAAACCATTAGATAAAACAATTGAATTGAAACTAAATATGAGAAAAAGTTAATTAGACTTCAAGAAAGATACGACACAATCGATGAATTCATTGGGTTTCTCAACGTGTAGATAATGTCCAGTTCCGGGAATACATACTATTTGAATGTTAGGCATGAGTTCACGAATTGCTTTATAATCATCTTTTCTATTATGAAAATATTGAGTAAAAATGGTTATATTTCTTATAAAAAATATATGTTATACATTTTAATAGAGTTTGCGTTCATTTATGGCATAATTTCAATAAAGCGGTGAATATTTATCGTAAACTCTATGAGACTATAATTGCAGACAACGAGAGCACTGGTCCGCGAATTTTCATTATAACTATAGCTCTGTCTGTGGCCACAAATGTGGGCCAAAAGTATAATTAATGTACAGATTATATGACATAATAATACATTTGACACTCACTTAACATATTCTGAATTCTGGCCGTGAATTAGTAGCGACTGTCCACCAAAGGGTCGTTTCATATCTATTTGATTAATGTATTGGTTTTGAAGCATTACTTTAATGGCAGACAAATTGAATCTCCAGAACAGTTCCGATGTCTTCTCATTCTTATCTAAACTCATCAAAAAGAAGCCGCGAATGAATTGATCCTAAATTTTGACACAAAAATCGCTTTTTAATGATAGGCCACAAAACAGATACAATGAAGGCATTCAAGACATTGCCTTTATTAACCAAACTAAAACAGTAACTGAGCGAAAGCTCGGAGTCTCTCTGAGTACAGAACTCCCTACAGAGCGTTGCTTAGCCTGTTGAGCAGGCATTTGCTCCCAAAGCACTTCTTACTCCGCGGAATAGATGACAGCGGACTGATGTCCACCACAACCAACTTCTCCACTATTTCTGGCTTTTGTTTCAGAGATAAATCAGTTTTAAGACAATTAAACCATAACTGATGGCTGACTGACCCATAGAAATGAGAACTGAAGGACTACTCGACCGCCCAGACTATCATTGGGTGCCATATATTGACAAACAATTGATATAACGGTTTAGAGTAAAGTTTAGTGACATTTGAGTTAAGTTTGTGATCATTAACAGCAAAGTTTTTCCATTCGTATAGGCTTAAGACATATGTGACAAACCTGTGACCAATAAGTGTCGCCTTTTTGTAGTTATTTTCCTCGAGAAACAGATTGATATCATTAGCCATGGCTTTCAATGTACTATCAGTTCCCGATGTGTGTGGACTTAATCCATGGTTTCTCAGATCCAATGCATACACAGATCGACCGGTTTTGGCGGAAATGGATTTGGAGATCGACTTCCAGTTGTTTTTACTGCCGAAGAGTCCGTGGAATATAAGA